TTATGAAAAGACGAAAAATTTTGCGGTATCATAAAATATAAATGTTTGTAACGTAAAAAACGAAAAATTTCTTTGAATGTTAAAAAAACCTGAAGTAAAAAAAAATTATTACATAGCTCTTGTTTGGACATAATACGCTGATAAAATTATGCTAACTTCAAATAAAAGAGTTCGAATAATTTGTAAATCGCCTTAACTACACTGAGTTACAAATGTACAGATACGCACATACATAAATTGGTAACACTGAAACATAAGCATCTGAAAGAAAATCACATGGTCTTGTTGTCAGAACCTTATAAAGTACAAGCAAGCCAAATAAAGACAAGCATAAGATATAAAAAATCTAAATTAAAAAATAAAGTAAAAATTAATATAAAAAAAGCACTAAAATCCAAGTTGAATTTTTGAAATTTGAACAATTTTCATAATATCAGAAGTATCTGATTGAAAAAATACATTTTTTTAGATTGAGCTTGAAAAGGTAAAAGGAAGTTGGTAGATTAAAATTTTGCAAAATATTATTATTCCATAGGTGGGGTGCACGATAAGCAATCCAAAATTGATTAAATTTTGTGTGACAAAACGGCTTATTAAAAAAATTTATGTTTCACATATTGTATTTGTTGATAGGTTTGAGCTTGAAAGTATTAACATCGTTAGGGGAGAGATTATTTCTCCTTAAATATTCAAAACATCAAACTTTAAATAGATTGAGTTTAAACAAACTTAATTATTTATGCGGATCGCATGTTTTTGACAACGACAAAGAAATTTTAACTTTTTACTCCCCTAAGCAGTGTTTGCATAATTTATGTAACTTTGGATAAAACATTATTAAGAGATAAAAGAGAAACTGAATTCAGTCATGTTTGCTGATGATAAAAATCTAATTCTTACTAACAATGATATTAAGTATTTATACGCAGACATGAATACTGAACTAAATAAAGTAAATAGTTTGTTTAGGGCTAACAAACTCTCGCTTAACTCAGAGAAAACAAACTACGTGTTAATCCATAAAAAAAATACAAGCAGAAAACCTTCCTCTTAAGTTGTCTGAGCTTATCTTAAATAATAAATTACTTAAAAAACGAGCCAGTAAAAGAATCTTAGGAATTTTTGTTGATGAGAATTTATACTGGCTTCCTCAAACAAGATATATTCAATCTAAGATCACCAATATAATTGGTATGTGCTGGATTTTGATGAATAATTAAGCTGATATACAATTGTTGTATGATTCTATTTACATGCACTGAAAAGTCTTCCAGATGAAAATAAATATCTTTAAATTTACTACAAAAAGTTCGAATCCGTTTTGAACTTTCGCAAAAAAATGTAATAACTGCTTTAATAGTGCCACCGCAACATCATTTAGATCATTATCTACGAGATTGAGTCCATAATAGGCGTAGGAAAAAAAAACGGCTATGGGTTAAATCTTTCAAATTTTTGCCTGAATACCATTTTTTTTCCCAGTCAATGTGGAGCATCCAATATAACCTTGACCGAGCAAATTATTATAGAAAAAGCCAAATGTTTTCCTCTTTTGAATGATACAATCAGATGTCGTGGCAGTGTCCATATCTTTCAGAGGTAAAAAGCCAAGAAATTCTTTGAAAATCATAGCCTTCTATCTAGACTTATTAACAAACTGTACTCTCAGTGATAACTGTTCAGTTTCTATAATATATGCTGTTTTATTGACTATAACCGAGAATCTAATGGCATTGATGACTGCTTTTACAATACCTTCTCGTAGAGCATGTTCAGATAAGTTAAAGAAATAATTCTGCGTTCGATTTAATGTATATCGGGCATTTTCAGTAGCTGTATCAAAAATGTTTTTTTAAATACTGTCTCCTCTCTCAATTCGATACTCATAATGATATTAGACATTTCCTTTTTTATTACATTTTTCACGTAATACCGAGTCAAGTGTTACGCAAAATAAGTTTTAAAAAATAATAAATACATCTTCTTTCTGTTATTATCAATAAATCGTTTTACTGAACTACCGTAACATGGGGTTACTTTGGCCACCGGGGTTTTTATAACCATTTTTAAAAACTTTAATTAAACATCTGTAACTTTTAAACAGTAAAGTAACGTTTTATTATTTTAAATAATAAAACGTTACTTTTTTAAATAGTAAAACGTTACTTAACTGTTTTAAAGTTACAGATAATTACTTTAACTTTTTAAAAATGGCCAAAGTAACCCCACTGGCCAAAGTGACGCTGAGTTACGGTATCTATCTGAAAAAGAATATTTTTATTTTAGATCAATTATTGTTGATGCCAAGTTTTCAACATTTCGCTGAGCCCCACACAAAGCCATGCTAAGATGGTATGGTTTTCGGCACATTCAGTAAAATATTTTTACTTTGTAAAAAGATTAGTAATGAAGACACCTTTAATTCCTCGTTAAATTGGTTGTGGAAAGCACAAATTACCCAAAGCATCTTTTTATCTAGGTGAATATGATAGCCAATGAGTATACTAAGTGTTTAGAAATGTGTTCTTTAAAATCGTAGGGTGGATGAGGCTGGTAAGGATCAGTCAGCAAACAAGATACTTAATATCAATTGGAAATTTTGTTGTTCATTTTAACAAGAATCTAATGTTATAATTTAATCTGTATCTCCACTTTAATTAAGTTAGTCAGATTCTAGTTTGAGAGATAGTGCTGCTGATGATGAACAAGCAACATCTTCCATTTTTGGTTTTTTGCAGACAATTTTTTATTAAATGAAAGACGGAGGTATGAGTACTGTCAAAGTATTTTTTATAAATGTTTTTTGCTCTAGATGTAATATAATACCATTTAGTTTTTTGAAAATTATTTCTTATATATTTTTAAAGTTCCGTTTATTGTTACCTAACGCGTTATCTTTGTGTAAATAAAACCACTAGAAGAATAAATGTTTTTCACCAAAATAAATAAATGAAACATCATCAAAAAATAAATTTTCTATTGAAACCGAACTGCCAAAAAATCAAAAAAATTATTTTTATCTAAACCGTACAATAGTAACAAATTTTATAGCAATCAGATTGGTAAGAAATAAAAACTTTTTCTAAATTTAGAAAATGCGGGGATAGGAAGGGAGGCAGTGTCTTTTTTCCACCCCTCCCCTTTACCTCCTTCTTACAGGCGACCATGCTCTGGAAGTGTTCTTTGATTAAAAGAAGCTTTAAAAACTTTAAAAAGAACATGTTTTAATATATCGAAATAATCTATTATAACGTTTCCATTAATTTCATTTGCTACTGTTACTTTGTTTCACAGAATTCAATGCTTTAAATTCTTTGAAAGGTAATATTGAAGTTATCAGAGCAAATGTTTCCATAGCTACAAGAAAATCATTAATCTGCCAAATTGAATGTTCAAAGTAAGAAAATTGCCGAAAAATATTGCCGACCTTTTAGATTTAAAACCAATACTCTTGCTTTATGGTGGTCATGGCAGTTATTTAACATAAGTTACCATAAAAGCGGCCATAGACAACCATATCCAAACTGTTTGTCTTCCGCCAAATTGCTCACATGCATTACAACCATTAGATGTGGCTGTCTTCGGACCATTAAAGAATGAGTGGAGAAAAATTTTAAAGCCGTATTTTAGAAAAACACAACACAAAAATATTGATAAGACAGCTTTTACAGGATTATTGAAACAACTATGTCAGAAACTCTCTCCAGCAAATGCTATAGCAGGATTTCACAGTACAGTTATCTCACCATTAAGTAAAGAAAAGATGGAAAGAAAAATAACAGGTATTGGCTTTCTCAATCAATCATCTGAACGTTATAGCCCTAAACCTCCAAGATTACAAACACCAGGATTGGCTATGCGAGAAGCTTTAAAGTCAATCATATGTCCTAATGTATCAACAGAAACAGCAGCAATAATAGAACAACAAAAACAAAAAAGGAAGAGATATTAGCAAAATGTCGAGAACTCCTTACAAATGAGAAAGTCAAACGACGGTTACTTGAGGAACAATAAGCTAAAGAGAAAAAACCAAGTTAAAAAAAATTATTACTTCTACTGAAGTAGTAAAGAAATACCCAAAAAGATCTAAGAAATGCCCAAAATAGCATGAATGTTACCAGAAAAGTGCAGCGATCAAAAAATTAGTTATTTTTTATAAAACACATTATTAAAACATTATTATTTCTGTTTTTAATTACCATTTTTATATTTCTCTAAGTTTTTTATTTTTATTGTTGTGCTGTGTATGTATGCACTTTCTTTTTAAATAAAAATATCTTAAGACTACTTTTTAAATTAAAACCTTGTATATATATACTATAATAAAGGTTGTTGATAATTTGTTTTTGATAATTTGCCGACTGTTTTATCGACATTTGCCTACTGGTTGTCTAAATTTACCGACTAACTTGTCTAAAGGGTCTACATTTGCCGACTGGCTAGTTAAAAAAGGTCAAATTTGCCGACTAAATGAACGAAAAGTCATTAATGGGGAGGAGGTGTCACCCCCCACACCCCCTATCGCTCCGGTTTTGTTATCAACCCATATAAGTTCTTGGGTCAGCTAGGTTGGTATTATTAGGATCCGTGCTAACCGTGTAATATTATAACATTACCCAGCATTATAACAATAACAACAACATCAACAAAAAAACATCTCCGGTTCTATCAGTTAACTGTTTTATAACATAAAAATTTCAAGTCAATTTCAGGTCAATTTTAAGTCAATTTTAAATTTGGAAATGAATTCAAAGATTCCAAACTCCCCTTTAGGAACCAACGTTAACTTAGCAACCAAACAACTACACAGCGTTATATTACCGTTGTTTTAAGATATTTTACAACTAGTTTTTATAATTTTCTCAATTAATAAATTCAAATTCTTTTTTTTTTATTTAGCTTATTTGTTTCGCTAAATTTATTTATTTTAAAGGGTTTGATATTCGAAAGTTCGAAAATTTCTAACTAGCATTTTTAATCGAATGTAGTATATAGTTTTATTGACTTAGCGACGTTGTTGTTAGGACAATCAAGAAAAAGATATTTTAAGAATTAACTACATAAATTAATATTTATTATGTTTTACTTCATATGGTCAAATAAATTTTGGATTACAAAATTTTCTCTTCTATTAGGCTTATTGTCAGTAAAGTTTGTTACAGGTAATATATATATATATATATATATATATATATATATATATATATATATATATATATATATATATATATATATATATATATATATATGTATATATATATATATATGTATATATATATATATATATATATATATATATATATATATATATATATATATATATATATATATATATATATGTATATATATATATATATATATATACATATATATACATATATATATATATATATATATATATATATATATATATATATATATATATATACATATATATATATATATATATATATATATATATATATATATATATATATATATATATATATATATATATATATATATATATATATATATATATATATATATATATATATACATATATATAAAATTTTATTTTATAAATCTTATTTTAAATTGATTAGCATTACAAGTAATGAATGGTACAATTTTATCTGTCATTAAATACTAAACAAAAAGCTTGCTAAAAAAGCAAGTAAAAAACATATCATTTATGTATTGAAAATGGTAGCGGAGCTCCCAATATTTTGTGGCAGGTAGAGGTCACTAACACCATCACAAAGAATTTATAGGTGTTTTTGAATAAAAGATTTCTAAAAAGTAGAGATCTTTTAGTGTTTTGGTTTTTGCTGTTGGTTTTAACTATTGTGGTGGTTAAGGAGGACATAAATTAGCAAGGATCTTTTTAAGGATAATAGTACAGATCTTGTCTAGTAACTTTTCAATGACAAAACTAATATTGAAGTAACTTGATTTGGTTAAATCAATTCCAATAGTGTTTAGGACATTTTTATAGAAATATTATCTCTTTTTGCAGCAGGACTATACAGAGTATGAACAGGAGCACATATTATCAGGTGGCTTATAAAGTAAGATCTGTAGACTTGTGGAAGGTTAGGCTGAATGTGTCTGATTTGCTTAAGGCAAAATTTGTAGCTATCTCTATTTAGCAGCTTTTTAAAGATTGAATTAAATATGAGTAACTTACAACAAAACTACATTTTTATAAAATAGCTGTTAACTATTTTTTTATAAATTTTTTTTTTTAAAATTTGTTTCTAGGTTTATCTGATTTTCAGAATGAACATTTTTATAGACTTTTATAATATATAATTTTCTTTTTGCTGCCTCTCCGCCAATCATGACATTTGAAAGTACCCTGCTTAGCTTATTTCTTTGTAAAGTGTCCATGTTTAATTGTCTTTAACGACTTCTTGGAGCATCTTAATAATTACAGAAAAAAAAAAAGTTTATATAGATATACAGATGCACTTAAAATTGTGTTTGAATAAATACTTATCCATTAAAAATTTTTGTAGTTTTTTAAATAAATTTTTTTTTGTTATAACATCTTGTGTACATTTTAAAAGCTGACCTAAATACATGATGATGGATTTACACCAAAGTCTTAAAGCTATAGGGTATGTCTAAAAATGATCATTTTAATTTAGGCATACATATAAGTATTCTTTTATCTAATGTGGTCATTAAAAATGCACATAACATTTTATGTGATTGCTTTGTAAAAATATGTGTTTCTAATATCTTTAATGTTGATATTTTTCAAAAGTGCTGAATAGTGTACCTTAGTGGTTATTAAGTACACTAACCGAATGTAGACGAACTATATTTCTTTAATAATAAATAGTTATAAAAAAAAATTTGTGAAAATTTTTTAAAGATGTTTAATTAAATTTGTTTCACTTAATTTTAGGTAATTTGTCACTGCGCATTTCCCCACCAAGTAAATTGACCCAACAAAGTAAAGTAGCTGCTAATTTTCCATTTGATCCACCAATAATAATTCAAGTCCTACGTAATGGTGCACTTTTAACTACTGGACCAGATTCTTCTCTTGTAACTATTTGTTTTGTTGTTTTTTTTGAAAATTTTTATCAAAATCCATTTAATATATTTAAGTTAGTTTATAAAATAACAGTATATTTATAAAGAACTACTTTAGTAATTAATAGTTTTAATGATAACTATTGAATTATTATAAAAGGTATGAAAATCTATTGGTTTTGACAAAAAGCTTTTGACAAAACAACTTATTCATTTTAAACCAATACAAAGTTGTATATCTTTTGCCTCTAGCAAAGTTGCTAGAGGCAAAAGACAAATTAATTTTAAAGTTTTTCTCTGGAATAATAATAAAAAATAATAGCTTAAATAATGAAAATTTGAGATGCATTTATGCTTGTTGAATCTTCTTTTTTAGTTAATTTGACACATAATGACCCTGACTTATTTTTATGCACAAAAAAATTTAACCTTTTATTTTTTTCACATTTTTCATATACTATATATGATATAAAGTACTATTTCATAAATAATATTTTTTTTAGGAAGTAAAAGCTGCGATAAACGATTCTTCAAAATGCTTGTCAGCAGATGCTACATTTAGTTTAAAGAATGGAAGTGGAATATTTCCTGGATCAATATGTGAAGTCACCACTGCACCATTAACATTAAGTTTTTCTGCTGTTTCAAGCCAAGGTGTTCTGACATCAGATTCTACAAATGCATTTGTAGTTGTAGGTAAATATCTGTTCCTGACATCAAATCATGTATCACAAAACAAACCATTAATATGTTAAAGAAGTTATTCATTTAAGACTGTTACAGTACAGAGAGAAATTATAAAAAGAAACACACCCAAACAATAAATTTTTAGTTTGAATTCTGCTGAGTAGTTATTGAAAACTTATCATATTTAATTGTATTAAAAAAAGAGTAAAGCTAACATTTTCTGTGTTTTTTGTGCAATTTTTGTTTATTTCATTTGTTTTAACAAAAATATTAAAAAAAGAGTTTTTTTAAAGAAAATTAAATACAAAAAGATAATCATAAAACTTTCTTTTGGTCTTGGTATTTTTTTTTGGTCTTGAAATCTAAAGTCTTGGTCTTATTCTTGGTCTTTAAAGCCTAGAGACCTCTACTGTCTTTTAATTTTTTGATTCGTACAAAAAATATCAACTTAATAAATGGATTAGTTATTAATAACAAACCGTACATTGCCACAACTTCCCGCTCTCAATGATAGTTTGTCGACTTAGTTTGACAAGGTTCTAACTGAAATTTTTTATGTTAGGAGAATTTAAAAGAATTCTTTTAATTTTTTTTTAAATTTCAAAGTCTTTGTCTTGGTCTTGGGTTAACTTTTTGATGTCTTGGTCTTAGTCTAGGTCTTAGTCTTGGGCTTAAAGCATTCAGTCTTGGTCTTGGTCTTGGTTCTTGAGCCCAAATGTCTTGGTTTTAGTCTTGGTCTTGGCCTTTACTGTCTTGACTTCATCTCTGATGTATACACAAAAATAATAAAATAGATATGGTATGTATAAATACCCAATTGTGTATATATAGAGCATGTATAAAATTTGTACATGTGGTTATTTAATAGCCACATCCTTTCTTGTTACCTTTTTTTTGACTAATTTTTTATGTTTTTTATTTCATTACAACTGCAGGTTGTGATGTCATCTAGCAATGGTTTTGTTTAAATAATACCTCACAACAGTTTTTTTTTTATGTTTTCTGTGTGAAAATTTTTTTAAACTTAATTTAAACATTTTTCGAAAAGCATCTACTAAAATACTAAAGCACATTGATAATATTTATACTTAATGCACCAATATAAGTCTGGAGTTAGCCATACCCTAATTTTTTCATTCACTTTATTTGCTACAAATTTGGCAGGAAATTCAAGCAAGTCTTTTACTTAATCAATTGCCAGGGGATTAGCTGGTTAATTAAGGTATATACAAATAGCAAAGTGTTGAGAGTGAATATTTTCATGAACATCTGTGTATTTTCATGAACATCTGTGTTTTTTCATGAACATCTGTGTATTTTCATGAACATCTGTGTGTTTTCATGAACATCTGTGTATTTTCATGAACATCTGTGTATTTTCATGAACATCTGTGTATTTTCATGAACATCTGTGTATTTTCATGAACATCTGTGTATTTTCATGAACATCTGTGTATTTTCATGAACATCTGTGTATTTTCATGAACATCTGTGTATTTTCATGAACATCTGTGTATTTTCATGAACATCTGTGTATTTTTATGAACATCTGTGTATTTTCATTCTCTAGAGTTAAGACACTAAAAATATTTTTGATCTTTTCCCCCTGATGGAAAAATAAATAAAATATATAAATTTTAATAAATAACAATGTTTCTTATCATAAAAATTAATGTTTCTTTCAAATAATTAATATTGTTCATATTTTTAAAAGTTCCAAAATTTATCAAATAAGTAAAACACAAAAAAAGGTAAATTCTCATCAGAACATCTTTACATCTTTTGAACAAAAATGAACAAAAGTGAGAAATGTTTAATATGTCATTAACTTACACTCATTAACTCATTTGTAAAATTCTTGTGATTTAAAAAAATTAAACATTTTTATGTTAAAGAAAAGTAAAAATAATGAGCTTGAAAATATAAACACAATCAGGATATTCTAAGAATTTGTATAAGTGATCAAATTTTGTTTATAAAACATTAAAACAAAATTCAATTAGATAAAAAACCTTAAAACTAAAATAGAGTGATAAATATTTTATCTTTAGGTGAAATCCATCTGGCTCTTTTTCATCAAGATCGGAGGTATTTGAATGGGCGTTATGAAGAGTTTTTAAGAGATAATATTGATACCATTAACACTGGGAAGTATAACTATCCGACTAGAATGGTTTTTCCAGGTATTTAACTTTTTTTTTTCCCCATTTAGTATCTTGTTATTTATTATTTTTGTATAACCTTATTAATATTTATTATTATTATAAAGTACCACCAGGTTTTGAGG